TTGAAAGCCATCTCAGCGTTCTGGGCAGAATAGGAAAAGCAAATTTTAAAATGACTAATCCGATAAATCGGAGATCATACACTCTCAAAAAAGCCTTTTTGAAAACGTCAGCTAAGCTTAAAGCCCCCTGTGTCTGAGTCTGATTTCTCCAAGCGCAATTAGCACCATGTCGCCGGTTTGAGAAGGGCTGACATTAGGGCAGTAACAGGAAGGAGTCACAGGAAGAGGCAGCTGACAGATCCCAGGTACTGTCTGAACAGATGGGCTGGGGGGAGAGACTAAAGCTTGCAGAGAAGTGAAAACGAGGGGTTTTAATTGGCTTGCAGTGGAGGAAGTAGCTCTGAGATGACGATTCTGCTTGCTAGGGGAAGGCAGTGGGCACATGGGGGGACAGAATTAACAAAGTGAAACTCTTCAAAAGTAAATACACAGCTCCAGAGCAACGCTGAATTATACACAGAAACAGAGGAAACTGTAGGACCTTGCAGTGCTGGAATTGAGTACAAAGAAGAGCTGATAACTGATGGTTGTCTTTCCACTGTAAGAGATTCTGACCGAATGTGGGGACTGCAGGGTCTGCTCAGTCTGCGGCTCGTTCACAGTATCTGTAACCAAAGGTCCCCCATGTCTTCGGCATTTTGAAAGGAAACACTGGGATCATTAAAACTGTGGTTGGGACAGGAGATGGTCCAAGTGGCCATGGAGCTTTGGGGAACTGAGCCTGTCCTTTGGAATGCAAGAGGGTACTGCTGCCTGTTGAAGTGGTACTTGAAGTCCAGGGTTCAGCCTGTGTGAAATGTTGAAGACTTCAACAGGGGAGATTAAAGGAACAAGAAAAAAAAAGACAATAAGAAAAGCTCCAGATTAGAAGGGCGTGCTCAGCCTGTCTTGCTTGCTCAGTCACTTGCAGTTAACGACTTGTTTCTTAAAGGTTCTGATGAAATTATTGTCAATTTGATGGCTGTGCAGTTTGTTGCCGACACCTACCGCCCTTCATGTAAAGACAAGCTTCCGTTTTTCAGCTAAAAAACCCGCGCTTTCTCTTGAATTCCGTTTGTGCCCCGACTCTTGTTCCTGAGTGTATTAGACCATCCCTCCCGGTCACTTTCATGACCCTGATCGCTTGTGTCCTCCTGATTCACTCCGAGTGACGAGCGAAAGATGACGTTCCTGTCGCCTCTCTGTGTGTAACAAACCCCCCCCGACCAGGATTCTAGTCCCTCTTTATAGAACTATCCAGTTGATCAATATTCTTTGGCGATAATGTAACAGGAATTATTGCTGATATCACAAGTGAGGTGCTGTTGTGTTACCTTCTCTTCATGAACCCTATAATCGGCACTTTCTGCTGTTCACTGTAGCGCCTTGCCATCCTTGTGTTTGCTTGCATTGACTGGGACCTGTGAGGGGCAGCACAGACTTGATTAAACCAGGGCAGCGGAGCTGGGGGCGGGGCCCCCTGCCCTGTGCTGTGCGGTTCCCCATTCTCGTGTCCGCACACCCCAGCGCTGGCGCCGATCTGCAAGAAGAGGAACTTGCCGAGAGGAAGCTGCGTGGGGGTTGCAGCGCGTGTGCGGGGGCACCCGATGTCACACCCCAGCGGCCAATAGCCAGAGGCGACAAGCGCGCGTCGCAGATCTGCTTCCCTCCTGTACACTTCCCCTCCGGGGGGGTGGCATAATTGAAAGTTTCTTCTTGCCATGTGGGGAAAAATACCCCCCCCCCCCAAAAAAAAGTCACTTTGGAAAACGATCCCATCCACAGGATCAAATGATCAGGCTGTCGGGACCAGGCGCTTGTGTGTTTGTGCCTGCTCCTTATTGTTCCGCGGTGTTGTGCCACTCTCGTTGCCCCAGCAGCGCCAGCCGGAGCAGGAGGAAGTGCAGGGCGCGGGGCTGCCGGCTCACAGCTCCCCTGGCGCTGAATGACAGGACGCCATTATGGTTGTTTGAAGTCCGGACCCCGACGTTCGTTTTCCGGCTCCTCTCTGATGT